GGTTAGGAGTTTAGGGTCGTGGGGTTCAGGGCTTAAGCGGGCTTTTCAAGGATGTAACCCTAAACCCTAAACCGAAAAGGGTTTATAGTCCCCCTTAAGTAGATAGAATATGGGGTATATCGGGATCGTGGTATAACATACCCAAAGCCACATTCTATCTGCTTAAGGGGACTATACACTAGACACCCTAAACCCTAGATAGTAGTTTCCATTTTATTTTCCATTATACCTATATAACCCCAATATAACCCTAATATCTTAAGGGACTATATGCCTTTTATATAATCAGGTAGTCCACATACTATCCCCCATAACCTACAATGGTCCCCATCAACTCCAGGATTTGCGAGCATTCCTGGAGCTGGTCCAGCGAGTTCAGGCCACAGCCTCAACAATCTGCCCTGGATCCTAGAACCTGGTTTAGGGTTTAGGGCTTAGGGTTTAGGGTTTAGGGTTTAGGGGGTTCAGGGTTCACATATTGGTAACAACCAACCCTGAATCCTAGAACTGTAAGCCCTAAACCCCAAGCCCTCAACCTCTAAAGCCCAGCGTAAAGCCTAGGGTTATGGGAAAACCTGAACCTAATCCTCATTGCTTTGTCTTCCTTGGATGGGAGTGCATGGGATTAGATGGGAAATCTCTCCTTGAAGAAGATGCCCAAAACAGGAAGGCGATTTACGGTTTTGAGTGATGAAAAAGTCTACAGTTGAGGGATAACAGCCTGTCGGCCCTTCCCCAGAAGATAACTCTTGCACTTGTCACCTAGTATTGTACTGCTTCTGCGTCGGGTGTCAGATATTCTGGTCAGGCGGCCTATTTCTGAGGCAGGTCTTCAATTCCCTTAACCTGTATATCTCAGAAGCATTCCACACCATGATCGTTTGTTGTAATCCACATACATCCCGAGGCCTGTAAGAGCATACGATTTTTGAGAACTCCCCAGGTCTTGGAATACGAGCGCCTGGAGCTGGATCATTTCTGGGAGATCCATCGGCGCCAGCTAGAGGACCGAGATTTGGAGCTGCTTGGAAAGCAAGATGCGGCTCCTTCCGCCTTTGGAGCTGAAGTGTTGCTCTTGTAGTTTGCTGGTTATTGTTGCCTTTGTCGTGAAGACCATGTGCTGTTGCAGAACAGACTTGCTAGATAATGTGCTAAACTCCTGCCGTCTGCAGACTTGAACGCTGAGAAGTGGAAGAGTGTGTCAGTGGGGTACCACACAAGATCGGCGTTACAGCCATATACGGCTTACTAGGCTGGTGATAACACTCATAAGGCTCCTGATTTATAGGGACTCGAGCGCACTTCTGTTCCTAGGGCAGCTCCTATATGTCAGGATGGAAATGCTTCGGAAACAGTTGCGGTTGCGCAATGACCATATCCTGGCCCAGCGCAAGAGCCTACCAAGCGAACACCAGGGACAGCTGCCCGGCCAAGATGATGCTTCTGAAGGTACTCATCATTATTACGCTTGAGTTTGAATAATTACTGTCCACACAACGGTCTATGTGGCTCTAGCCATGGACCCAGAACACCGCACCACAGGCCTGGTGGACTGGGTGCCAGGCCGCTTACGTAGGCTTCGTTCAAGAGATTCACTACGCCATTATGCGATGACAAAATGCGAGCAGCGCTAGATACGCTAGCCGCTAGCAACAACCACAAGAGGGCTCGCATAGCCTGTAGCCTGCAAGGCGTAGGCTCGCTCAGGCACCCCTGATTGTATTGGCGTAGCCAGGGTAGTTTGTGTTTTGCACAACATGAAGACGGGGTGCGTTGAACTTGGTCTAAGCCATGGATGCCGCACGGTGCACGTAGACAATTGGATAGCAAGACTGTCCTTGCGCGGTCTGACTCCGGGGGGGGGGAGGCCGTCATTCCGCGTAGATGGTGTAGGCCCTTAACATATATGAAAATGATGCTACACGGAAGGATGGTTGTCACCCAGAGAGATGCAGCACCTTTGACGGGTACTGACGGATTCTCTGGACCAAGGCTTGGAGACCGAGCCTTCCTCTTGGGTGCCACATCTGAGCTCCCAGTCCAAGACCACGGCCCCCTGCGCATCATGCAAGCGTGGGCACCGCCTACCAAGGAGAATCAGCATAAAGGTGAACAGGGTTTAGGATAAGGGTTTAGGGACGTTGAGGCTTCATGAAAAAGGGCAAGCTGTGTTTTTTAAGCCTTGTGGTTGTAGGTGAGGACGCAGAAAGTGGGGTATAGCATGCTTTACGGTGATGTCTTGGTGGGTTGACAGGAAAGGGCGGGCCGACCAGCCAAGTATTCCACCTTGCTTCTTTTTGTTGTTCATGTATGCGCTACTTCATCCATGTGATGATGCTGGCTGGACATTTGCATATAAGTGGACATGACATGCATGCTTGCCTTATTGAAGGAGGCGGAGGAGCTTGAACACTGGGATAGTCGTCCGCTGCGGCAGCGTGAACGCACGGCTTCCTGCGTGGGGCAGGCTTTGAGTGAGAAGTCTCCGAAGTAGTGCTGTGTTTCGTATCGATCCTTTGCATTCTTTGAGTGAAAGGGTCCTGTATTGTTGGATGTAGACGCTTACGACCAGGCTACTACAGTTGATCTTCAGATGTCACTGCCCATCAGAAGCATTTCAATCCAACGTCCAACGTTGCATCTTCTGCGACTGTGCAAGCATGCATGCCTTCAGCAACCTTAGAAACTTGTAGCTAGTCTCTCAGGCCTTCGTATTTGCACCGGATGCTGTGCTATAAATAGATAAGTATACATATAAATATGAATATATACATGTAAAATATATACACATTTATTTACTTATATTCATATATATATATATATTTATTTATATGAATGTGTATATATATATGTGTGTATATATATGAATATATACATATATACAAATCCCTAAAGCCCCTCCAAAGGGACCCCTAAAATGTTTCAGAGGCGAGCCTCGAGGCGTCCGAGTTGGAGCGCTGTCTCTCAACTCACGTCCTCTCCTCAGGGAAGATGTTCCGGCCATATGGGCTGTAGTACTGTAGTCTAAACTCCTTACAGGGGGTTATATAAGGGATTATATGGTGGAGTATTGTAGGGGTTACAAGGAGGGAGATACTAGGAGCTCATATAGGTCCATCCCCAGAAAGGGGGCCTGACAATGGGCGAATGCGGAGAGCAGCATACAGGGTGTCCATTCTGGAGGTGGCTGTAAGGCTGGAAGCAAGCGGGTTGGGCGCAAAATCCCCAACCAGGGCGATCACAGTGATTCTTATGATACGATCAAGTAATCCTTTCGGAATGCAATCTGGCAAGCTTGAGCAGACTGAGGACAAGGCAATCAATTGGAGAGCGCTGGAAGTGCCATTGGCTTCGCAGATCAAAGGGCTCGCCCTTTTGCAAGAGGACGGCGGCAAAGTGCCAAGAAGCCTGGCGGCAAACACTTGGAGCGAGATTGAATTGTGGGCTGTCTGCTTCTGCAGAATTTCTTGTTGGCTTTTGTCTGAATGCTATGTAGCCCGAGGACTGCTGGCTCAACCTCCCCGGCCTCAGCCTGTCAGCGTACCCCAGCCACCTGGGAATTCAGGAAAACCTGGGCGGCACCTGACAAGCCTTCAGGCTCATGGTGTAGCACCAGCGCCAGTTCATACTGCACGTCGTCCCAACCATGCGCATGCAGAACATCGCTCTCCGCCACCAATGCGTACAGGCATCACCAGTGATGCATCCCTTGGAGGGCGGCCAGTGAACCGTGGCATGGAAGCACGAAGTCCACCACTTCCTCCCAGAGGCGTCATCCGCGCCTACGGCGTGTCCCCGGCATACCGTGAGCTCCATAGAGACCAGCGCCAGATGGACCGGAATGGGGGTGCCCAGCACCGGAAGAGTAGCCCCTGGCACTCCCGCGCAGACCGGATTGGAAAGGCTGGAAAGTTTTTAGTGCACATGCCAGGCCGATAACTGGCAAAGGCTCCTTGCCATTTGGGAGACAAGTACTGCTTGAACATTTAAACAGGCTGTGACAATGACGGCATACAAGCTCCAGAGACTTCCAAATACATTGAAACGGCCCAGATGGCAACGCCCATGCACAAATTCGCCTGGAAGAGTTTACATGTGATCCGGTTCCCGCTAGACTTACAAGATATCAACCTTGCCAACTAGACCAGCATTCAGACCTGCATTCGCAACACCATGCATGTTTATTGAGGCGCACGTGAATACCCGTCGTCTTGTGCCCATTCTCACCACTTCAGTTTGATTGCCGGAACTCTTCCAAAGGAAGATGGCATCAAAAGTGGCTCGTCGTGCTGCCTGCATGTGCGTGGAGTAGCTCTTTTGCACCTTGCTATCAAAGATTTGCCATCAATGCTCCATGCTAGCATTCCGGCCAGGGCAGCATTGCACAACAACAAGAGTTGGAGATGGCGCTGCGCAAGCCTCGGTGTGGTTTCTTCACAGAGTCAACAGGTGACAGTCAATTAGTGATGATGCATTGATTGGTCATGTCATTTTCTGCAACTGGAAGGCCTCAGCGAACGCAATCGCCCCGCTTTGGTGAGGCCTTGCCGCAGAGTCTCCGCTGTAAGTTCTAGGTAAATCCTCTTCATGCCAGCCATTGTGCTCATGCAGCATTATGCCCTGCAGGCACATGAGATATGATGATGGCCTTCCTCTTGTAGCTGCTGGTCAATAGACATGAGTTGCCTCTCAGCTCCAAGCGGATCACGGGAGAGATTTGGCCCCATGCGCGAGGAGCTTATCAAAAGGCATCTCGACCTACAGGTAGATTGGCGTCAAGCTCTGCTCTCTCACTGGGCACCTGGCTGCACGATCAAGCCCGAGCAGCACAAAGCTTCCCACGGCGCAAGTTCAAGCAGTAAAGGTGCGGACTCTCGAGAGAAGTTTGCGAGGCCAGCGTTGCCCAATGATGGGGGGCGTTGCCGCGGCAGATTCTGAGTGAGGCAGAAGTAAAATGGCACCCTTCCTCAGCCGAAAGGGTTTTGAAGTAGGACTTCACCTCAAGTTGCCATGACCGCAGAACCATATGCCTGCGTGAGGTAATTGTAATCGCTAGCGCGCGAAGCTATGCTCAGGAACACCCCAATGACCTTGATTTGGATGGATCGAAAATGTGGGAAAGTACTTTCCCCGAGCTCCCAGCCAACGTCTTTCTAACCCATTCTAGGCTGAGGGAAAAGGGGTAGAGCTAGCTGTTAATCTTCTTGTACGCGCTGATCTCGCAAACTCTGCCAGAACTCTACTGCCAATGACCGTCCTGGTTTAGGCCTGGAGGTCCGCAAAATGCGCAGTTGCTGGCGCAGGCTTTGCTGAGCCACCCACCATTTGAAGGAGGGGTTGACACGGCTTGCGTGTGGTCTGCGAGGGGGATTTGAGGGAGCGTTCCAAACGCCCTGAGACTTGGTAGACCCGGCGAATTCTTTGGCCGACGCTCTTGTGCTGATGCAGCCTCCTTTGGCTCGAAAGTTTAAAGCAGCAAGGACTGCCAAGCCGCCCTCGGGGAGCGCACAGGCTCGGACCCGAGTACTGAGGATGATCCATCCCCGATAATTAATCATCTCCCCCTTAAGTATCAACTAGAATGACCCCCACCAATAGATAGCTTTTTTTTGCAACTCATTACAAGGGAGTGGGAGGGGTGGTGATTGGGGAGGGCTTCCGTCATGAAGAGGATGCAGTGGATCTTTCTCAAAGTGCTGAAGTTTCTTCAGGTATTAACTATAGTACAGAGCCTTTCGTATACTGGGCCCGAATATTGGGAACCACCCGGATGCTCCATGAAATCATTTATTGAAACATGAAGCATTCCTTATGTATGGTCTGCATTCTACACTGCTTTCACCGAAAGACAACCCACATCTTTCCCGCCCAGTGCAACATTCCACTCCTCCATTCCAGGTCTATACCGGGAGACTGCATAACACGCAAACTGCAGTGTAGCAATGCTGCGGTGATCAAGGACACTTTTCAAGGCATGGCTCTCAGAAGTCGCAGAAGCTTGCTGGCAGTCATTGGCGCGACAGCCCCTCGGCTCAAATACCTGCATGCATCAAACGTGACTCTGCCCGTAATTCAAGGTGAAGCAAGCATGGTCCAAAGCTGTTTCCACAAAATGTGGTTGGGACCCATCTTGCAGGTATTGGTAGCCTGGACGCATATGACTCCATCTTTTGCCTGGCCCTGAGCACGTTGCATCTTTTTCCCGCATCTGTGGCACATCAAACGTGGACCCCTTGTATCATGAATGCTTGGCAGTGGAAGCTTTTCAGGTGATATTCATACAGCCTCGAAAACACCGTGAATGCTACATCTGGTTTGACGGATACGTAGTTCTGAGAACTACCCAGGCCGTAGGTCAACAGGGGAGCCGTAATGTTGAGAGATGCTCCGAGCGGGTCCTCAGACAGCTAAACTCAGAAACAATTACAGGCAACTTGCTTAGGATGATATACTAACCCTCCCAACTATCAACTGCATTTTCTGCGTGTCCATGATGGAGTACACCTCATGCTTAGAGGTCTTGTTCTTGTCGCTCAGGCCTCCAAAGCCTCCGAACAGAGCCCCACCGTGTAAGTTCTGTTTTCGAGAGCGCGCTGTAAGAGTCCAAGCGAGGTGCCTCCCAGAGGACCTGCAAAGCCTTTGATGGCGGCGGGCCTGGCACAGGCCCCTTCGGAGGATTAGGGTTTCTGGCAGGGCTTGTGGAGATGGGGGGGTTTAGGGTTTAGGCTTAGTGAGTACTTTGTGTGAGGGCGGATATCTTTGATGTTGATCGTGTTGAACTGAACGTGCTCAAGGAACGGCACCATAATTCTGATGGCATGCGATGTTTTCAGACTGCAAGTGCTTTGGGGGGAGGCTTGAAAAAAGATTGGGTCGGTATTTTATTGTTTTACCGAAGCCCCGCCTTACGCTCATATGATGATGGTAGCTTCTCACATCCGTGTACTGTGTACCCGCTTTGTCCTCCTAATGAGGATGATGGATTCCCATCACGTCCTGGGCACGACTGCAAGACGTTTACAACAGCATGGTCAGCAGCAGCACTGTGATTACCTACTTGTATTTTTTTGCAATGGCTGTTGCTACTCTTCTAGTGGAGTCCGTGGCTAATGCAGGGTTAGAATTGCTAAAGCCATGGGAAGTCGGAGGTAGTGCAAAGCCTCAAAGCAGCGTGTATTCAATTGAAGGAATAGCAGACTTGCGGTCAAACTTGCGGTCAGGTGTTGGCGTCCACCCCGGCCAGTGCTGAGATCAACCAGGAGGACTCTCCCGCCCAGTTTCGGTCGGGTGAAATTGAAGTTCTCAAGGATTTTCCAAGGTGCAGGAGCTAGTTCGTTTTTCATCTCATGCACTGTTGCCACGCTTGTTACTATGGCCCGCAGTATTCAGACATGATGCGACAAAACTAGTGGCTGTTTAAAGCCGCAGTGGCGAGATTGCCATGACAGCTTCTCAGTGAGTAGGATAATAGTACAGTAGAGGGGAATTAAGGTTTATGCATAAGCCAACTTCACTCCAGACAAGAATCCTTGGAGGCCTACTACGCCGCAGCTGGCATTGATCCCAACCAAGCGCGCAATGAGATGATTGACCAGTCACTGGGACTGCAACAGCTACAAAGACCAAAGCTACCCAAGAGTATCTGGTAGGCCTGCATGTGATGCCATCCTGTAACATGCATGTGACATATGCATCTGCCCAAGGATGTCCGACACAGATGCTGTGGAGGTCTCAGTTTGCTTGCTGGCACATGTTTGAGTGATTCCTGACATAGCTGGTCGCAATTAGAGTATGCTAGTGAGCCGAGACTGTCTCCTTATGCAAGTTTAGCGCTGTTAAATGCATCTAGCTGCTAGCTCGGAGCTTCGAAGCCCTATCACCACTGCCACCATTCTACCTCATGAAATTTTGCGCAGGAGGTGCCAAGTTTTATGTAGGTCGGTTGCGTGGATGGCCGCCGAATGTCAGCGTTGAGCAAACTGTGGGGTAGCCAAGATAGATTGCAATGCTTCATAACCTGTTGCTTTGATAGCATGGCTCGCCAAGAGAGGTGTTCATCATCATCACCATCATCATCATCACTCCTGCACGATCTTCCAGGTGGCCACTCAAGTCCCCTCACGGCATCTACGTATCCCTAGGTTTGGCAAGAGCACATCCGTAGAAACTCCACAGGTCTTCTAGAGCAAAAGCAGGAGGTACTGTAGTCCAAAAAGGCAGGAGGCAGCTTCTCCGCATCCCCTACGCTCCTCAATATGGGCCGCCATGCTCCCATAATCCTCACATTTCCCTAGGGTCCCATAGGCAGAGCCCCCCCCCTTGCTTGATGGGCAGGAGTTCCAGCCCCTCAGACCAAGGCTCTTCTTGGTGCTTCCGATTTCTTTTGGGAGATCCTCGCTCCATTCTCTGCCGGCGCTGGATTAGCACTTCGACTGCAGCAGTCAAAGGGAGGGTCCATGCCCAGGAGTGCTTTGTCAGTGGCGAGGTGTGTGATGGATGAAGCTGCGACAGATGATGGGACATCAGAAACGCCTAGGACATAAAGTAATCTTGTCTGACAGAATGTTTGGAAATTTTACGCACGGATCTGTAGACCTGGATGAGGCTTTGTGACAGCAAGCATGATTCAGTGATAAAGATTACTTGGCCTTTGGCTCAACGACAGTAATCAAGCTTCCCGTGAACTCATGTCTGAAAAGCTGCTGCAACTCGCATGAGCCACCAGCAGGCGATTTTGATCAGTGATTATTGTTGTTCGTGTCGTTATAGCTGCTTAATGATCATACGCCGTCATGCGCCCCGAATGACTTAATGGTCAGGAGCCAAGAACTAGGTTTCTCGATCAAGGCACTGTCAGGGACGTTCTGGAGCCACCTGCATTTCAGCTTTCCTGTCGTTGAATGCTGGGGATAAGGCTTCGACAGGGCGGGCTGCCAATC